CGTAGACATATATATTTCATGTCTGTTTTGCCGAAAGCAAATGTACAACGTACAAGTTTAATAATTGATGTTTCGATTTTATATATTTAAAAAAAAAAGTTTGTTTTGCTGACGTCATATAAAATGACATTGATTAAAGTTCAAAAACAAAAATTTATTAACAATAGTTTCAAATAAAATATATTTCAAAATTTATTATTATTTTTTTGTATCATATTTTTTCGCACACATTTAAAATAAAAAAAAAAGAATTCAACTATATTTCTTATCTTAATATGAATAAAGAATAAAATTTTTAATCAAATTAAAATACGATTGATTGTATTGATAGAGAAAAGAAAAATTTTAATCATATACCTCATGATTTTTCATCGTTATTATCATTATTATTGTCATGAAGGTTAATATAACAGACGACATAAACAATATGATAGTACGACTCATCTTCAAATAATTATTAATGATTGTTATGAGATGACAATTATTACTATCGAATATGCCACTATTAACCTTGTTGTTCTCAATTTCTTCACTCAAGTATGTCTCTTGTTTGACCTTTCTTTCACATCATCATCATCATCATCATCAGCAGTCACACAGCATTTGCTCGGTTTCTGTTACACTGAGAAATGACATGAGCTGATGTGCTTACGTACAGTTATGTCTATTTACATTGATATTCAATCTTTCCCTACTTTTTCTTTATTACGATAAGAAATAAGATGAACATGTACACATAACTTTTGACTGATTTTATCGTTTCTTCTTGTTCTACATTATTCCATCATACATACATATGACGATGAAAGGTAGCCTTTAAACTGCAAAGACTTTCAAGGCTGCTATATATACATATATATGCACAAACGTGCGCGTGCACACAAGTAGCTTCTCGATAATCGAATCAATCGGCGACAATAGTAGTGGTAGATGTGCAGACAGTATAAATAATTGATATATATAGTATATTGGTAAAGTTATGCAAGTTGTTCAGACACATGAATATCAAAGAAAAATAAATACACATATATATATATAGAGAGAGAGAGAACGTGTGAGTCAAACTTCTGCACCAGTTAATATGCAGACAAATGAGCGTCAAGTAGACAAAAAAAAAATGAGAGGAAGAGAAGAAAAATAGTTTGCTAACTATATTCAATTGAATATACGTAAATGAACAGTCTGTTGCACGGCATTATGCTTCATTAGTTACACTCCATTTTTTCTTCTATGATTATTACGATTGACTGATATTTATTGTATTAAAACACAATAAGTGTTGAAATGAATCATTTCGATTGTTTGACAGATTTCGAGTCGATTAATCATTTGACTATATAGATGATTAAGATTTGAAAACTATGATTTATATCTTGAAAAATTGAATCTTTAATTCGTCAAAATAAGCCATTCAAGATGATATATATATCATAATAAAGCTTCGAGATAATCGAACTTCTTCTCTTGATTATCAATAGATACATGCATTTATATTCTTGTGTGAGATTTGATTGCTATTTAAATCGTTATCTTTTCTTTTTTTTTCTTTCATATGATTCAAATAATACAAAGATTACATCTCATCATAGATGTTTATAATACAAATATATTTCTTTACAACTAACAATTATTATCAAGAACATAATTAGAATCAATAAAATAAATCTCCGGTAGTCATAGTTTAACAATAAGTTTTGTACAATGATTAATTAGAAATTGAATGTTGACCGTTAATTTGAATAAAATGCTTGAAGAAAAATGCTTGCAATAAATCTATTCAACAATAATAAATGAAGAATAATTGTCATAAGAACAGCAATTAAGTTTTTGAATAATGAGAAGTCATATTATTATGGATATATAATAGTCTATTTGTAAGATAGAAACGATAATGTATGATTTGATTTCAAAGTAGATATATACATAAAGAGATTAAATATTATGAAGGTATCATATTCAAAAATATTTGATAAATGGTATAGGAAAAGAAATGACACGTACATATTGATCTTAAGATTTGTTCTATTAGTAATCGATATCATTGAAGAATATATCTTGCAATTTTTTTTTTTTCTCAATAAATTCATAAGAAGATTTTACTTCAATAGTATTAAAATAGAATTTTTATAAACCATGTAAGAAATGATAATTTGTTACTTTGTCATAAAATTATGTTGAGAAACAAATTAATTCGAATTTTTTTAAGAATAAGTAATTTAACATATAGTTAATTATTTCCGTCATTAAGTATTCTTTTTAGATAAACGAATCTTCTTCTTTTACGAATGATATTTAAAAGTGACATGAAGAGATTTTGAAATTTACAAGAATATATAAAAATATAGTTTAAAACTTCGATCTAAGCGTTAAAATATAGATATGATCTATTGAAAATTAAAAAGAATAAGATCTTGGATTGAATGTTGACATACAAGAAAATAAATGACATTAATATAATCTTGTTATTTTGTCTAAATATGCTATCTGTTTTGTCTCGTAATTGTTTTATTTGAGTAAAATGACATAATTATTGACATAGATAGGTAAATAAATTATTACCAAGAACCATTTGTTCAAAAAAAAAAAAAAAAAAAAAAAATTTTATTATTGTTTACATGAGTGAACATGTTAAAAAAGAGTGTCATGTTTTTGTTTAGAACTGCTGTACATATAGACAATAATATACTTCGATTTTCAGCAGACAATCTTCTATTATAAAATTATCGTACATCATAAAATAAACTTAGCAATAAGCCTACACAATAATTATATAGGGTAGTCAAAAAGTTCTTGCGTAAACAGTCTGAAATTTCATCCTCATTGTTTTAATTGCTCATGTTGGTCTATTCTAGTAAAGATATCGATTGTGTATCAAATTATCAAGACGAAGTTTTATAAATGTCTATTACGGCAAAATCTTAATAATTTGTTTTTTGTTTGCCTTTATTTTCAAAGAGAAAAACTATGTATACGCTCAATATAAAAACTCATGTGTTATTAAACTTTATTGCAACACAAATTCATGATGAATTAAGTGCTGCAACTGAACAACATTGGGTAGGGATTTATCGATTTTCAAGTAGACGAAAATCATTGAAAAATGATCTGCAAAGTAATCATTCAATAACAGTCATGATTTAACAAAATATTGATACCATTAAAGATCACTTACTTGAAAAGTAAACTCGATACATGTTCTGATGCTACAAGTTTAGCTGAAGTCATAACCAAGAGCTCCAATTCAATAAGTGTTTACAAATGCCAAAAAACATTTCAGAAGTAGATTTAAAGAATAAAACGTTGTACTGAATATCATGGGAACTAATTCCAATCTTTACTGTAAACAGATTATTAAAATGGTTTTTTTTTTGTTTTTATTGTATAAATATTTGAAAGTGCACGAAATTGTCCACTATCCTATGCATTTTTAAACAGATCCTCGAAACACATCATTATCATTAAGATATGTAGCAGACTAGGCAAACGTTAGAAGGATAGTGAAGGAATTCATCCTAAAATTGAAAAAAAAAATAAGTAAAAGAGCTGATGAGTACCAATACAAAAATATACGTTTTCAAGTGCCTTCAAAATACTTTCTATCAAACTTTAAATTAAAAATTACATTTAGAACTTTTAACTCACTAGTTCTATACAAATCCATTAATGATACCCTAGAAATCTTTTCTTATCGTTTTAACAAAAACTTTTAGTGCAATGCTTTACAATTCCAATATCAAAAGATGATGAAGTAGTTTGGATTGTAAAATTCACCACTTCTAGATCGATTAGAATCCTTGATAAACTCGTATAAACATGAATGTAAAAATAATCACTCTTTTGTAAATATGAGGACAAAGCAAACCTGAATGACATGTTTTCAAATCTAAGAATTTTGATATTCGAGTTATTTTGCTTTTAAATTGTTTGCTATAGCTTATCATTCGCAAACTTTTCAAATAAAGCAGATTTAGAGAGTAACTGTTTAACACCGTTTATTTTATTGTATAAAAAAAAATTCTACAGACAGAAATTACACTCGTAGATTTCTATCTGCAAACGTTTTCTTGCAATCTTGTTATTTCCATTAGAAATGTACGACTGTTGAATCATCGTTTTTTTCTTTGACTATTGTTTCGTGCATCCTAGAAGTTTGAAATAGAAGGATGTATTCTTCACGACGACGAACTAATATATTTATAGCACTATATTCTATCACTTCTTGATC